ATATAAAATATTATATCAGTATTTTATTTTCTTGTCAATATATATTTACAGAAAATTCTAGGTTATTCGGTAATAAAATATCTGTCAAAAATTTGATAAAGTTATATTAAAAGATCGCGCACACTATACCTACACGGACCGGCACGGACCAGACCAGTAAAATCTACCGGTGAAGGTGACCGTGTTATTTAATAGAGTAGAGCACACTAGACCAGTACCAGCACGTACCGCCACAAGCCACAAGCCACGACCGTCAAAACAGGTCGTGTCGGTCAGGGACAAATATGACCGGCAATATTTATGCCTGGTCGTGCTGGTCCGACCTAATGTGCGCACCGGCGAACCAGCACACCTCCACAAACATGCAAATATTGAAGGGTTCGTCAGTATTTCGAGTACGCTAGCTGGCTCAAGTCGAACCTTTAAATCGTTTTAAATATGAATGAAGAAAAGCTTATTTTACTGGTACAAAAGTATCCAGAGCTGTGCGATACGAGCCAAGCATTTTATATATAGAGACCAAGAAAGAAAAGATGCAATATGGGAGTCGATAGCAAAAAAAAATAATCAAATTTGATTTGTGACATTCGAAAATATTGGAAAAACTTTTCTTCGAATCTTTTTAATTCAGGAAACAAATGATGAAATTCGCCATATTGCTTTCTCTTTTGATTTATAGGGTGAACCCAAAATCTTCTTTTTTCTTAGCTTCCTTCTTTTCCTCCTCTTCTTCACACAACATGGCTAAAATAATAATTTCTTCCTCTGAACTACTCTTTTTCAATACTTTTATGTTGCACGCTCTAGTAGTTGAGCCTTGACAACTGTACTTTTTTCGAAACTCTCGCTTATGTTGCTGGTCTGTGGCGATAAAGTGTGCGATGTCATGCAGGATGCAGGTTTGAGCTGTGCTGGTCCGTACTGGTCCGTGTAGGTATAGTGTGCGCGATCTTTAAAATTAAAATTCGGATAAGTTGATTCTTGGAAAAAGGTACAAAGGTATAGATATTATTGTTGTTGTTTACAAAAAGGTATTTGTGATATTCGTTAAAAAGATTAGAAATGTTAAAAATTGTTTTTAATAATTTCGGCAACCTTTAGTAAACAAAAATTGCCAAAGAGTGCGAGATTGAACTAATACCCACTTGAGTTTGAACCATAGACTTAATTATGGTTTTAATATTTGGTGCATCCATTAAAATAAAGAAAATAAATAATATCAGTCTGTAGCTCATAAAACATTTGCTCCTTCAAATTTCAAAGTTTTTTTAGACACGTTTAACAATTTGCCCTTGTTGATTTCAAACACTCCTTCTATACTCTTAACCATCATGCACTATGGAAAATACTGCACCTAACTTGGAGTATTACCAATAGGGTTTCCAATTCGGGATCCCTAAAATCCCGAAAATTTGGAAAAATTTAAATACCAAATCTAAAATGATTCGACTTTGTATACTTTAGTCTTTTAAGATCATATTTTATATCTAAAAGTTATATTTCCATGATTGCTATATTTTATTTTTTAGAAGAATTGTATTTTTTTTACTTACTAAATATGAATGTTACTTTGCTTCATCTATTTTAATAAGGCTCTCTTCACATTTTCTTTTTGATAATATGTAGTTGTATTTTCATTAAGTATTCCTTTATATTAAACTAGCGTGTATCAGCGACCTCGTTCGCGTCGAATTAATCATTTGTAATGGTGATGATAAAGCAAAGCAATAATTTCCATTAACATACAAACTGGATAAAATTTTCTCACATTTATATCAGCATGAGAAAAAACAATATAGCGATATTATTATATAACTTGGTAATATTTGAGGGGTAGTTTCATCTCGTTAGAATTTGACTTTCGAAAAATCTGTTTGCCAAAAATAAGCTTTTTACGTCAAGCAGTTTAAGCAGAATCGTGGTTTAGAAATTAGGTTTAGGTTTTTTAGAAATTACCCAACTTTTTGGAACACCCTGTATTATTTTTTAAAAAATTTCAAAATATGTAAAAAAAACCAAATAAATTATGCTTGTCCAAGCGTTTTCCCGAAAGACTAACCGTTTTTTAGATAACAAATATTGTAATATTTGAGGGGCGTTTTCACGCTCTTGGAATTTGAGAATCGAGAAACCCCTCCTTATCGAATCTCTACACCCCACAATCAATCTGTTTGCCAAAAATCAGCTTTAAACGTCAAGCAGTTTTAGCAGAATCGTGATTACTCAATGGTCATATTTTATGTATATAACACCCTGTATAAATTTATAAAAAATCTGAAAATATGTAAAACAATAAAAGAAAATATACGTGTTTAAGAGTTTTTCCGAAAAACTCACCGGTTTTTAAATAAAAAATATTTTAATATTTGAGGGATAGTTTCACCCCCTTAGAATTCGAGTTTCGAAAAATCCCTCCTTATCGAACCTCTACACCCTAAAGTCAATTGTTTTCCAAAAATCAGCTTTTTACGTCAAGCTCTTTAAGCAGGATCGTGATTAATCAATGACCAGATTTTTCTAAACACCCTGTATACATTTTTAAAAAATCTTAAAATATGTAAAAAAACAAAATAAAATATACGTGTTTAAGCGTTTTTTCGGAAACTTGACCGTTTTTTAAATAAAAAATATTGTAATATTTGAGGGGTGGTTTCACCCTCTTGGAACTGGAATTTCGAAAAATCCCTTCTTATCGAACCCTAGAATCAACCCGTATGACAAAATTGAGCTTCTTACGTTGAGTGGTTTGAGCAGCATCGTGATTAATCAGTATGTCAGTCACTTAAGGATTTTATATATTAGTATAGTTCAATATAGCTGAATATACAGGGCGTCCCAGAAATAAGTGTAAATATTTTAACTGGTAGTATAGTTCAACCCCAGAAACACGTCTACGAGGTTTTTTGTGCGAAAAAAAAAATTGAAAATTCGAAATTTTTTGAAAAAATTTTTGGAAATTTTTTTAGTTTTTAGTTAAAAAACATAATTTCTTGATAATATGGCAACATAGGTATTAGATTAAATTTGCAAGAAAGAAAATCCAGAAAAGATCCAGTGGTTCTCAAAATTTTAGCAAAATATATTTTTTCTTGGAAATTTTCAACGTTATTACAGGAACTCCGTTATTTTGGACTTATTAGAAAAACGATAAAGAGAAAATATGTTTCTTTTATCGAGATCTACCACCTCTTAAAATATTTGCACTTATTTCTGGGACACCCTGTATATATTATAGTACATAGTATATTCAGTAGGTCTGAGAATAGGTTATTATCTATTTTTTATACCCCTTAGTGATAAGGGTGGTCAACACCAATTTGTTTTTTATTTTTTAGACAAAATTTTTTATTTTTATTTTGTTATGATGATGTGGCATTAAAAATACATGCGATCCAAAATTTTCACCATTCTACAACCAACCCTTAAGTATATTTTAATAGTGATATTAGTAATTCAATAATTTTCAACCCCGTAAATAAAAATTACTGTTGTCCCATAAAAAAATATTTATATGGCAAAACAATGTTTGCCGGGTCAGCTAGTATTAAATAAAATGTGAAATTTACACTCTTTATTTAATAAAAAAATATGCAAATAATATTATTATCGCGACACTACTAATGATAAACAATAATTTTTAATTTGTTGACTAATATTAGAAAAGGAATCATAATAGTTTAAATTGCTTAGTTGTTGGCATTGACACTCGGGCTTGTTTTATTAGAAACATAATAATACAGATATACATATGAAATGCTGTTGCTAAATAATAATCCTATGAGGTGTGGTAAAATGACTTCCCGGTAAAGATTTATTCTTGAGAAAATAATATTTCTTCTCATGTTAACTAACCTGATGAATAATATTTTTTACATATTTTATAAAACTCAATTTAAATATAATCGGTAGGTATACAGTACATAAAAGAGCCAATGTCAAAGTGAAATAATTAAAATAATTTAAACAATATTTTTTAAAATTTGAATCAATATTTTTATTTTTCATTTATAATTTTTTATACTTAAAAATTTTAATTTATCGAATGACATTTTTTAGAATATTTTAGTATAATATCAGAGACCATTCCGAAAATTGCGACAAAAAATAATATACTAATTAGTTACTTTAAAATGTAATGGGGCAAATAGCTTGTTTTTGTTTTGTTTTTTACATTTTGAAACGTAAATATTGATATCTGTATCAAAAATTCTTTTGTCTAACATCTAATATAATAAACTGGAATTAGGTAGGTATTTGTGTGTGTTTCCAAACAATTATTAAATCTTATCAGGAACAGAGATAAAGATCGTTTTAAACTATATGAGAGTATTTATAATCATTTAATAACATTCTAATAAATATCTACTTGTTTACAAAATATTGACACGTTAAAAATACTACTTGGACATTTTAAAATTATACACATCCTAAGTTTTATTAATTTTTATTCTATGAATTTAAATACAATATGTTTTAATTTCATAATTTCATGCTCAATAAAATTAAACTCATTGAGCCCATTATTGAGAATATCAATATTATCGATACTAATACAAAAAAGCTAAGAAAAATTAAAAAATAAATAGTTGTAACTTTGAATAATCAAATGAAAGTTTATTTCTAGGCTACAACTTGTCATTGTTACTATCAACAATTACAGGTTGTCTATGCAAACGCAATATAAACCAAAAATAAATATTTGGTGTTATAATTACACTTAAAGTACATCTTAATTGCTGGTTCCAAAAAAATGGATACGACTCTACACATTTTTTTCGAATATTTAAGCAGTGTATATTTATGTGTCAAGTATTTTGACATGTTAAGGTTATTGTGATATTGTGTAAAACAACTTTGCTTCTGACAAAGTGGCAAATAAATTTTTCAGAACGTCAGAATCATAGAATATACTGCCCGAAATAATAAAAATATGTTTTAAATCGTACTCAATTTTATTGGAACTAGCTGTACATCAAAATCAAATTTTGCAGTGTTCTTACCTAATTCTTGATTTTCTTGAGCATCGTTGCACCTGCCAACCACCCTGATCACAGCCCTTCCAGCCAATCTGGTACTGATCATCATAGCGACCATTCGAGGATCCGGCTGTTCGGCTTCAGCTTCAGTGGCAACTTCACCATCGAACTGTATTGGTGGGCGCATCTTAAATGAAAACAATATCGTGTCAAGAGCATTTTTTCCTGTAGAAACCATATATCAAAAATATAAAATAACTAGAGTGTACCAGCGACTTCGTTCGCGTCGAATTAATCATTTGTAATGGTCATGATAAAGCAAAGCAAGAATTTCCATTAACATACAAACTGGATAAAATTTTCTCACATTTATGTCAGCATGAGAAAAAACAATATGGCGATATTATTATATAACTTGGTAATATTTGAGGGATAGTTTCATCTCGTTGGAATTTGACTTTCGAAAAATCCGTTTGTCAAAAATAAGCTTTTTACGTCAAGCAGTTTAAACAGAAGCGTGGTTAAGAAATTACCCAACTTTTTGGAACACCCTGTATGATTTTTTAAAAAATTTCAAAATATGTAAGAAAACCAAATAAATTATGCTTGTCCAAGCGTTTTCCCAAAAGACTAACGATTTTTTATATAACAAATATTGTAATATTTGAGGGGCGTTTTCACCCTCTTGGATTTTAGATTCGAGAAACCCCTCCTTATCGAACCTCTACAGCCCACAGTCAATCCGTTTGCCAAAAATCAGCTTTAAACGTCAACCCTGTATAAATTTATAAAAAATCTTAAACTATGTAAAACAACAAAATAAAATATACGTGTTTAAGAGTTTTTCCGAAAAACTCACCGGTTTTTAAATAAAAAATATTTTAATATGTGAGGGATAGTTTCACCCCCTTAGAATTCGAGTCTCGAAAAATCCCTTCTTATCGAACCTCTACACCCTAAAGTCAATCTGTTTTCCAAAAATCAGCTTTTTACGTCAAGCGCTTTAAGCAGGATCGTGATTAATCAATAACCAGGTTTTTCGAAACACCCTGTATACATTTTAAAAAAATCTTAAAATATGTAAAAAAACAAAATAAAATATACGTGTTTAAGCGTTTTTTCGGAAACTTGACCGTTTCTTAAATAAAAAATATTGTAATATTTGAGGGGTGGTTTCGCCCCCTTGGAACTGGAATTTCGAAAAATCCCTTCTTATCGAACCTCTACACCCTAGAATCAACCTGTATGCCAAAATTGAGCTTCTTACGTTGAGTGGTTTGAGCAGGATCGTGATTAATCAGTATGTCAGTCACTTAAGGATTTTATATATTAGTATAGATATAGATTAACAAATGAAGGCGTTTTTTAATTTACAGGATTAAATTGAGATTCAAAACAAAATTAATAGCTTTTAATTCTACTGGATTTATACAGGGTGAGTCTTAAATAAGTGCAAATATTTTTAGGTGTAGTATATTTCGACGCCAGAAGCACGTCTATGAGGTTTATTCGCGAAAAAAAATGAAAATTTGGAATTTTTTGAAAAACTTTTGGAAATGTTTTAAATTTTTAGTTCAAAAACATAATATCTTCATATTATGGCAACGTATAAAGTAGATTAAATTGACTTACAACAAAGAAAACCTAGTAAAGATCCAGTGGTTCTCTAAAATATCTCGATTATTTTGGACTTAATTGAAAAACGGCAAAGAGAAAATATGATTATTTTATCGAGATCTACGAGCCCTAAAAATATTTACACTTATTTAAGATTCACCCTGTATGTATTCAAAATTTAAAAAAAAAACTTGAGAGACACCGGATTTTTTTCGTTATATGCGGCCCTTTTAGTGTCGCAACCATAGAGTAAAGCCGTAACCATGGTAATATCAGAGATTAAAAAAATTATACCGTGGGGGTACCATAATTTTTTTTTAAGAAAATGCACGATTTTTGCTATCTTTTTTTGCGAAAGAAACCTCATAGAATATACCACCCCTAAATATATTTGCACATATTTTAGACTCACCCTGTATAAGAGAGTATAAATAAATACAGTCCATTTGTATTTTGTAAATTAATTATTAAAGATGGCACGCACTTAAATTTTAATTTTGGTACTGAAAATTGTTAATTCAAACACAATCTGTTTTTTTTTGGGATTTAGTATTCAACCAAAGTAATCAGGTGCTATAAAACTTCTCATTGGTTAAATGTAGTTTTCAGTTCCTAGTAGTGTTTTTCCTTTCATAACTATCTTTTGATGCGTTTAGACTTGAGCACGCACGCACTGATCCTCCGCGAATGCTCAAGTGTAAACGGCTGTGCGCGCATGCTCACTCTGTATCTGTCTGTGCGCGAGCAGCCGCGAACGTGAGCCCTCTGGTGTCGGTTTTTGGTCCGTGCTCAAAGGGATTTTATGTGTGCGCGAACGCTCAGTTTGCACCGGCAATTTGTTTTGTCTGCGTTCGTGCGTGTGTGATTTTTTTTCGTTTTCTTTATTAAAATTATGGAGTGGATCAATGAATCTTCGTTATTACACATTCAACATTATTTGTATTATTAAAAAATAAAAAAAAACGCATGACAAGATCTTGTAAATAAAATTAATATTGAATATGTCGATATTAATGAAATTGCTATTCTAAAATTTGTATCTTTTGTTCGTAATTTTTGGTATTATTAAATTTTGTAAATATTCAAAGTCGGGTCTGATCATCCTTGTAAAGTTTTGAACTGTGCTCATAGCCCTCCTCAGACGCACTAAGTTGTTGCAGCAAATTATATCGATTTCTAAAAATTTGGGTTTGCCACCAGCGACGATGTTTTCGATTTTTCTCCTTTTTAATAATTAAGCTGTGCATAACAATAACTGCAGCCTCGACTATTTCTTGATCGTCCATTATTTTCGCCAATACAACTTTGCTGTGCGCGCACAAACGGATCACTTCATTCGTCGAAAAATAAGTTTTTAATTTGAACCGAGCTGAGCGAGAGCGCGAACGAATGCCGTGCGCGCACGCTCAGCTCGTGCGTGCTCAAGTCTAAACTACTATTAGTGTCGCAACCATAGAGTAAAGCCGTAACCATAGTAATGTCAGAGATTAAAAAATTATACAGTGAAAAAATTTGCGGTGAACAAGCAGTTCCAATTTTTTTTTAAGAAAATGCACGATTTTCTATCAAGAAATCTCATAGAACAACTAAATCTATTTGCATTTGCACTTATTTAAGACTCGCCCTGTATAAGAGAGTATAAATAAATACAGTCCATTTGTATTTTGTAAATTAATTACAATCTGTTTTTTTTTGGGGGGGATTTAGTATTCAATCAAAGTAATCATCAGGTGGCTATAAAACTTCTCATTGGTTAAATGTATGTTTTCATTTCCTAGTAGTGTTTTTCCTTTCATGACTATCTTAAATACACTAAGATTTGATTCCGAACATTTTAAAATCGTCAACCGTCATTAAAGCATTAAAAAAAGCTAAACCAGCAAAGTTGTGCATTGTATAACATTGAGCAAAATACCTTATTTTAAGCTCTAACCAAGTAGCATCACCAATAAATGCTTAAAACAATTTTAATTAAAAATATTTTTAATAATCTATTTTCTCTAGAGTTTAAGTAAATAAATAAAATTTGGTGTATTGTGGTTAAAATATTGCTATAACTCATTTGTAAAAAAAATTGAGCTCAAGCTTTATTATTTATACGATTTCAATAGAGATTTGACAGTAACACCGACAGTTCCTCTTCAGGTATTTTAGAAATACTATATAATCGAAAAAAAAACGGCGTCCAGATGGCTTGGAAACAACGATCGATGATATTTCCCATATAATTTTATTTATAAAAAATGACAGCGATCTTCATTCCATAACCATCACTAACGCCGTTTTTTTCGATCATATTGTAGTTTCATAGTTTGACAAGACCTCAAGTAAATTTTGATAACAACAACTACCACTGTATACAGGGTGAGTCGTCTTAAATAATTGCAAATATTTTTAGGGTCGATAAAATCGATAAAAGAAACACAGTTTCTCTTTACCGTTTTTGAAATAAGTTTGACATAAGTCCAAAAATATAACCGAGTTATTTTACTTTGAAAATTTCCAAAAAAGAATTATTTTTTGCTTAAATTTTGTCAACCACTGGATCTTTTTTGGGTTTTCTTTGTTATACATTTAATCTACTATCTATGTTCCAATATTATCAAGCAATTTTTTAAGAAAAAAACTAAAAAAAATCCATAAAAAAAAAATTCGCGAAAGATACATCAGAATCGTGTTTCTGGGATCGAAATATACTAGCCCTAAAAATATTTGCACTTAATTAAGACTCACCCTGTATAGTTAAACTTGCACCGAAATGTTAATTTATTTTCTGTAAGGTCATTTTTATTCGCTCACACCGAATGTATCATATTCATATATCAATAGCATTATACAGGGTTGTTCAAAATTGTTTATATTGTAGTTATAATAATCTTTCAACGGCCCCAAAAATCACAATTTTAAAAGTCTTATCGTTTAAGCTACAATAATATACTCCACTTCGAATGACTTGAATAATTCATTATAAGAGCGATTTTAAAATCATTGCACTGATATTAAAAACAAATAAGGCATCACCACTTCACACACCTTTATTAAAGTTTTTTTCTTCTCCAGGCAGATATCACAAAAGCAAACCAAAATCGAATCACTAACGTATCCTCAACGATAATAATAAGAGTCACTGTAAAACCAGGCAATTTCTTTTGTCTTAGATCGAGACAAAACTAAATCACGGCCTACTGTATTCGCTTTCGAATCCGCGACGACGTTCAAATGTTTCGAACGGGGCACCGCGACGCCATTTTATAGGCGACGGCAGTGTTTTGTTTTGGTTGCCCCCTTTCTCTCTACCCCCCTGCTATACGTTCGACTGAGCATATGGTGCGCGGCAAGCTAGTAGGCATCGGCGTCTTTCTTTTGTTTATCGGCAGCACGATCTCTTTCAAGTTCAGCGTACTGCGATGTTGATAAATTTCTCGCTGATTTACAGCGGGATTTATTTTTTTCCGTAGGCTACTTGCTTTTTGTTTGTTGTGAGTATAGGTAGATAAAAATACAACTGGATTATGATAAGATTGACTAAAGGAGATTTTAATTTGTTATTAACCTAACCTAGCAAACCGCCACTTAGCCAATATTTTTTTAGTTACTACGAAAAATATGAAAATTTAGTACAGCATTAATACAGATAGGCAGGGGCGGCTTGTCCTATGAGGCAGATGAGGCAGTGCCTCACCAATACATTTGAAAAATTACACTTATTAATCGATACATCTTTAATCACAATTTTATATTTTTTTCCCTATTTGCATTAATAATAATTGTATTTTTTAACCGTCATTCTACAATAAATTGCGTCGATGGTATTCCTTTAAACGCGCTTCCTATCCCATATGCGACAAACTCGACGATGTATATCCATCTCATTTGTTCTTTAAGAGGTATATGTGCAGAGGTTAGCCTCTCGCCTTTCCTTGTCTAGCGTATTGTAGTATATCGCACTGACGCACAGTGTTTCGTCCCATGGACAAAAATCGAAAAAAAAGTTAAAATTTACTAATATCTGAATATGTAATTTTATACTTATAGCAATGTTCAATCATCCTGTATATTATTTTTCATAATCAGTGTTTTTTGTTAGCAAATATTTTCACTAAAAATAAGTTTTGCGATCATATATCAGTGAAATTATCTTATATCAGTGAAAAGAATAACATTCATAGTAGTTCTGTATATGGAGTTAAACGGTACGTACTTAATTGAAAGCCACTATGGATATTGTTAAACAAGGTATGTACTTTAAATTTATTTCTAAACAAGTTCGTGATTGTTTAGTTTTTATTTATTTTTTCAGATGAATCTTAAATGTGTATAAATTTTTTTTGTTTCTAACCTAGTTTGATTAAAATGTTTCTAACCTAGTTTGAATAAATTGCCTACAATAAAAGAGAAGTTTTGCATTTTTGTCCTCTAGAGCCATATGTTCGAAGCACTGATGTGGGGCGGTTAAGTAATGCTACGCTATTGCAATTCCAGCATCAAACCTCTGGTAATATAAGACAGTTCATTTTACTCCCAGTTCTTGGACTAAAAGTAATGAATACTGTTTACTTATGAAACACAAAATAGTTCCAATAAGCTGTACACAAAGAATTTTACGTCTTTCCTTTTGCTACGTAAAGTTTTCCACAAACAGCCACGTGCTCATAATATATTAATTTAATTTCAAACTATATCGATGATTGAATATCTCGACTGGTTATTATGTTCGAAGATAACTTTAAGGCAACATTCCAAATATTAATAATATAATAGTGTTGTTGTTTTAAAACGCAATATTTTAAAGCACGCAATATTATCCAAAAAGATCGGGAACGTTTACTTTGCAATGTCTAGGCAAAACAGAAAACAGCTGTAAAATCTTCCTCAGTTTCAAAAATAATTCGTGTAAAGCGGTCAACGTCGGCGTTGAGTTCGAAGGTTTCTTTTTCCACCTTGTAGCGTGCTTATTCAGACGTTTTGGCAAGCGTTATTGAAAAGGGAATAAAGCATCTGCGTTCTTTAAAAATACCTCGCGCTATTTAGATCAAGTTTGTAATAATTTCTCTATAAATATCGATAGGTCATAACGGGAAAATTTAATTTTAATGTAGCTAAAAATCTAGAACTTTTACCTATTACTTTGCATGCTACATTTAATAAAACAGTGTACAAAGGTGCTGGGATTCGTCGGCTTTATGACGAAAAGGCGTATCTCGATTTTTGGCGATTTTGAGATATCAACGTCATGACATGCCCAATGGGTCATATTTTAACAAAGCGAATTTGCGCATCTCAATATTGTACCTTTTTCATTTTATATTTGTTTAAAAATTTGCCCCATCTCAAATACTACAATTCTTCGTTATGACGAAGAGACGTATGTTGAGATAGGGCTCTTTGTTATATCAATTGTTATACTACAAGAAAGATGGAATTTGAGATAGGTCCTTTTGTTTTAAGTTATGAAAATGCATGCGAGAGAAAATCACACCATTCTACCTAATTATTTTCTGATGGTTGCTTGGGACAAAATAAAACTTCTATCATGGCTCTCTTTTACAGTGTGATTTTGAGTCTGTTTTTTGCCAAAAAACATTGTTAAAATTGCCCTAATGGAAAAATTCCCGAAATTATAATTTCCCTAAGAACATTTTAGCGAACCAAAAACTTGCCCGAAAAATACAATAATTTTTATCTCATTATCATTGTCAGGCCATTGGCATTGTCATCCCTGTCAATTTTTGGAAAATTTTATTTATTGTTCCTATCATCATTCTGCATAAACACGTAGAATGGAAGTCGAATTTGTTATCATTGAACAGGGAAAACAGAAACTGTTAGTCCACAGTTATTTGTATCAAAAAGGCACGAATGAAGAAACATGTTTTGTTTTTGTTTAGTTTGGTTTTTATTAAATGGACCGTGAGTTTAAAATGCCTTGTATTAATGCCCTCAATTAACTGAATAATTACTAAAAATATATAGTTAAAAAAATGTATTTTTGTATAAAAAACAATATTATTAAAATAAGCTAGATAAGTATATTTTAATTGATTATTGTCTTTGCTTCTGGAATGAAAATTGTCTTTGTTTTCAGATGATCTAATCCAACGCGAATAAAAGTATTTAAAAATATTTGTTTCTGATTTTTTGGTGATTTTCAGATTTTTTCTGTATGTATGTATTGTATTTTCTTGTATGCATTCTATAATGTGAATATTGTATTTTTTTTCCTTATTAAGAACATTTAACAATCATTTTTAAATTTATTTTACATGGGCGTATGTATACTATTCGATCGGAAATAAATTTATTATTATTATAACAAAAAGGCCTATCTCTATTAAACAACTAAAAAGAAATTATTTATTAGAATTTACGCACAATTTATCTTCAGAAAGTTTCCTCAATGTCTCCGTTTAAGTGTTAATTAGCGATGGGAACTATCGAATGAATTATACTATCGAATGGTTACTGAATGAATGATTTCAACTATCGAATGGTTTTATTCGAATAAAATCATTCATTCATTTGTTTACTAAAGCATATGGGACAACCTCGCGGTGCGACTAAATGGTTATCGTTGAGCCACGACTATCAAATGCTTTTCGTAATTGAAATTTAGTATTCGTTTGATTTTTGTGTGCGTCAGTGCATTATTAGTTCTTCCAAATTTTTATAACTTCGCCGTATAAATACTGTGCTATTTTTGCGTTTATTAAAATATTTAAAATACTAAAATAGTAGTTTTTTTTTAATTTTATTTATTGACGATTGTGTGCATGTGCAGGTGGTCAACATTTTTCCGAAAATTTGTGTGGTTTTTCGTAGTCCGATCTTTCAGTTATTTAATTTTATATGGTATATGGTCTATTTTTTAATGGGAAATTTTGAGAAGCAGCAATTTTTAAGAGAGATGAGATGAACTTCCAATTAATTTTAAAAATACATATTTTTATTTTAGATGTTTTAATAATATGAATTAGTTGAACTTAATAATCATATTTAAGTAATGTGGTTAAGTAAATGGTTATCGAACTCAAACTATGGGGTGAGAAAATTAAAATGAAAGTTTTACACGTGCCAATTTAAAAAAAAAGGTTAACAATGTTTGTATTTTGTTTATGCTAATTCTCTTACATGTAGTTTTTTGCAAAGAAATATTTCATTTATTTTTTAAAGTAAATACCAGTAAAAGTAAATATAATCTTTAAATAGTAATATAAAGCACCTAATATAAATAATTTTGATTTCTAACTTTTTATTTATATTTTCCTTCCATTACATTGCATGCTTAGAAAATTAATAAATGTTTATATTTCATGATTTTAAAATTTGTTGTTAATATAACAAATTAGTTCTGTAATTATTATTCTTTAATAAACCAACGTTGCCAAAAAATTTAGAGACTATATTATTTTTAAATAGGATCTAATATAAATAATTTTGACATCTAATTTGTTGTTTATATTTTATTACTACTTAAAATAATGTTTATATTAAATAATTTTAAATTTTGTTGTTAATAGGTATAACAAATTATTACTGTTATTATTATTTATTAAACCAGTCTTTGCTTAAAAACATTAAAAATCATATTCCTACATCCAAAATAACCAGTATTATTGCAGTGTAACAACAGAATATTAATAAAAAAAATGCAGAATATATAGACATACTATCCCTAACTAACTAAAGCCAAACAATAATATTCTTTGCTAATATCAACTAATACCAAAATATGGCAACAGCGCCCTTCATTATGTATTTTCTGTGTAAATACTAGCACCTCAATAAAAAAAATAATGTGTCCTTATTTTTATCTGACTCCGCAAAAAATCAAAGATGCCGGCTTCTTTCATAGCATTGCGTTTGTGGCATTGCCACCGACCGCTGTCGGGTTTCTCGGAAAGAAACCTACGTCGCCGGGCGACAACTAAAATTCAGTTAATATTTTATTATAGTCGATCCTGACGAATAAATGAATTTCATAAATAAATGAATTTTATAAATGAATGGTTTTTGCTGCCGAATTACTAGAATACAATGTTTCAAGTCAGATGACGGAATCTATTCGATAATTTTTGTTCGAATAGTTTTCAACGAATGTTTTCTTACTAACTATCGAATTATTCGAATGAATTGCAACTATCGAATGTTTCGACAGTATTCATTCGATAGCTCCCACTACTAGTGTTAATACAAAAACACTATTAAAAAATTAAAGACTACATTTATTGGCCAAATAAAG